TTCACCAGTAGGACAGCAGTGGTAAAACTCAGCCAGCAAACATTGCATGCAAGAACTTCACTCTTACAGCAAGTACTGAATGAACCATGTACTCAATGCCAACCTAGTTGGACCTGCTGTCCTTCTAAATGGAGCAATTGCAGAAAAAGCAAAATTCTATGGTGAATCCAAACAGTCTGAAACCATGAAGCTGGGTAGTCTGGCTATGTGGTGGAGCCCATTCATTGTGGTGTGTCCTGATCATGTTTATTTGTCTAAACTCTTCTTGGTGTTGCCAAACTGCCCTCCTTGGACATTAAATAACAGAAAAGTGAGAAGCCATGCAGTTGTAGTCATCTGTGACTGCAAGTCTAAGGTGAGGAGGCCCAGCCAGACTAATAGGAAGATCTGGGACACAGGGAGCCATGCTGTGTCTCACTGGGATGGGGCCCTACAAGCCCCAGGTTCCATGGGGCACAGTTTTGGTGTGACTGGTGGGGTCCCTAGGGCCAACTGCCATCTCCTTTATCATCAGCCAAAAGTTGTGCAGGTTAAACCGATGGATTGGAGGAGGGGAATGGGTGATGAGGAGAGGGAAACACTCTCAAGTCCTTTCCTAAATGCCTTTTTCTGCCCCAGACTGTGGTAAAATAGAGCAGAGACCAGCTGGCCAGCCTTGTTTGTTTAAGTTGTTGACTAATCTCTGAGTTCATGTGCTGAGCTGGTTCATGAAGTTCTTGAACTTTTATTATCCTTGGACTTCTGACACAATGAGAATGAAATAAGAAACTGCTACTATATTTAAAAGCAACCTATAAGATTGAGTGAATTAAATGTTTGACTTTGAATCCAAAGATTCAAGGAATTAAAAAAAGTTGTATAATGTTCACTGAGAGTTACTCTGAGCCAGGCACTTATTTGAAATATAATGCTTTAAATGGAAAATGCTCATAAGCAAAAGTAAATAAGAGATTCTAAAAAGTGGATATAGATCTGTGCTCTCCATTGTGGCAGCCACATTTCAGGTGTCCATAGCCACACATGGCTAATGACTGCCATATTGGACAGTACAGATAGAGAACAGAGAACATTCTCATCATTGCAGAATGTTCTAGTGAATACAGATAATGAACAATAAATATGGACTCATATAGAATATTTTTTATTTCAAAACATTTTGCAAACTGCAGTTTATGACACCTGGAAGGGTCAGTTAAGACTGCTAGTTTATATGTCAGGACTGGAAATAACCTTAAAGATTACTGAGATTAGCTACCCACCCAATGATTAATCCACTCTACAACTTCCCCACCAAGCCTCTGTCCATGTTGGGCTTGTAAATTCCAACAATAGACATTTACCTTCAAAGGCAGTAGATTTTATCTGAACTTTTGTAGTCCAAGATGGTTAGTATAATTCAGTACATGGTTCTTAGAAATGCTAATTTTTCTTTGAAAATATTAAGAAATTTTATATTCTTATAAATGCCTTTAGAGATGAGTCATACAATTTCCATAAAAATTGTGTATAAAAAGGGTAAATGTCAAAAGTAAGTGTAAATGTCCAAAATAAAATGAGGTTATGCAGTCTGCCCACTTGTCCTGTGGTGTCCTTAAGTATGTTAATAATAACATAAAAGAGTTTAGGCCTATTAACATGCTAACAGATGACTTACTATGAACAATGACCTTATGTATTTCTCAATAATTTTTTTCTCAAAAAAATTTTACAATCGAAAAATAAGTAAATGTTCTAGATAAAAGGTTAATCTTACCTTTTATAACACACATCTTGAGAGAATTATAACCAGTCACAGTAGAAATACTTAAATATTATCTTTCTTTTTTTTCTTTTCTTTTCCTTTCTTTCTTTTTTTGAGATGGTGTCTTGCTCTGTCACCCAGGCTGGACTGCAATGGCACATCTCGGCTCTGCAACCTCTGCCTCCTGGGTTCAAATGATTCTCCTGCCTCAGCCTCCCGAGTAGCTGGGATTACAGGCATGCACCACCACACCGGGCCACTTTTTGTATTTTTAACACAGACAGGATTTCACCATGTTAGCAAGGCTGGTCTCGAACTCCTGACCTCGAGTGATCCATCTACCTCGGCCTCTCAAAGTGCTGGGATTACAGGCATGAGCTACCACGCCCGACCATATTTTCATAGAATGCCTCTACTTGAGTAAGCAGGGTATGCTGATGTACTCCGACTTTTCCTCAAGGTCTTGCCATGGTCGGCACCATGGGCCTGAATGGGACCATCGCCCTGCTGAGGGGCCCCTGCTGGGCGAGCCTGCAGCTGTCCTATTGTGTGCTCCTTGTTTCCTGTGGGATTCTTCTGGCTCCTCCCCAGCCTTCACCTATCATTTCTAACGGCCATTGGCTGTCCTTTACTATAGGGGATGTCTAGCCAGTGCTTCGATTTTTCTCTCTTTTCATATACACTGGATTTATTTTCAAAGATAAGAGTCAGAATGATTACTCAAGATTCATTATGCTGCCACTAAGGAAAGTGCACGGACTTTGTGACAGTGCTTTTCCTCGGTGCCTTTCCTCCTACTTACAGGGCTCACTGATGTTGATGGAAATCTGACGGGCTGAATAATGATGCTGTGTAGTAGTCATTGTAACAACAACAACAAAATCATAATAGTAAAAAGAAGAATGGTGAGAACAACAACATGCGTATATTAAGCACTGTTCTAAGGATCTGGTATAGATTGATTCATATTATACTTAAAACAACCCCATAAGTACTGAATCAGACCGTTGTACCACTTAGGTGTACCAGCAGTGGGACCCTGTAACCACTCCCATTGAGTGTTTTGTCTTTCAAATGATGAAACTACGGCACAGAAATATCAACCAGCCAGTAAGTGGCAGATCCTGGAATGAATCACAGGACATGTGGGCTCAGAGTCCCTCTTTTTAGCCACTTTGGTTTAGGATAGATTTCTAAAGCTTTCATTCTGTAATGGAGCATAAATATATTCATGTGTAAGACAATCACTTATTTCTATTCTCTTATTTTGCAGGAGGTGACTTTGGTAAAACCTGTGTACAGTTTCATGAGAGGGAGCTTGTTATAACAGAGAGGTACGTAAGATCTCCACTCAGACAGAGCTGATATGACATTGGTCCAGGCATTCAATCCTTCTTAACAAAGCTCCATCTGGATATCTCAGTTTTTACTCTTTTTCTTCTACCTTTCCTAGAAGGCTGGCAGTACCTTGTTTGCATGTGATACATGTGTATTGTTGTGATGATGTCTGCCCCAGTGGGTATGTCTGATATGTGTTTGTTCAGAAACATCTTACCGTATCCATGTTTGCATCTGTATTACTGCTTCGATATTTTCAGATTCAGGAGGATCCACTGTATTCAACAACACTAATAAAGAGCCTACTATGTGCAGGCATTTTGCTAGGTGATGAGAGTACAAATGATGAATAATACAGATTCTGTATCTTCAAAGCTTTTATAATCTACTAGAGAAGACTCTCATATAGTTAAAGTCACTGTAATGAGGAAAGTGATAGGATAAGGTGAATGACAGGCCAGACGCAGTGGCTCACATCTATAATTCCAGCAATTTGGGAGGCCAAGTTGGGCAGATTGGTTGAGGCCAGGAGTTCAAGACCAGCCTGGCCAACATGCTGAAACTCCATCTCTACTAAAAATACAAAAATTAGCCAGGCATGGTGGCACATGCCTGTAGTCTCAGCTACTCGTGAGGCTGAGGCACAAGAATTGCTTGAGCCTGGGAGGTGGATGTTGAAGTGAGCCAAGATTGTACCACTGCATTCCAGCCTGGGTAATGTCTCAAAAAGGTAAAATAAAACAAATAAAAAATAAAGGTGAGTGAGGAGCAAGAGAGGAAGGTCTCTTAGAAAATTCTGGGAATTTGGGAACAGCAAGAAGGAGATATCCTCTGGGCTGAGGTTTGAAGGTTGAAGAGGGTTGTCAGTGAAACAAACAGAAGCAGGAAAGGCCTCACCAGCATCTCAGATACTATGAGTGTGAAGTGGGGCTTGGCTAACCTGCTCTTCCTCCAGAGAGTTTCATTTCAGCAAGTGGCACCAATTCAGTTGCCAAAGACAGAAACCTGTGTGGCATCTTTGACTCCTTCCTCTTCCTCACCTTGCCATGGCCAGTCAGTCACCAAACCCAATGGACTCCACTCCTAAGTGCCTCTGAGACCCATTGCCTCTCTCCACCCCTTCTGCCACCACCATGCTCAGTCCTGGCCTGGATGTGGCCCGTGGTCTAGTGACCGGCTCTCTCAGTCGAGACTTGCTCTGCCTGTCTCTTTCTACCACCCTCCCTTAAACCTATTCTCCACATTGCAGTCAAAGCACATTCTAAATTACACAACAGACATGTCACTTTCCTGCGAAAAAAAACTTTCAATGACTCTCCATTGCTCCTGAATAAAATTCAAATTTTTATTGTGAGTGACAAAAGCTTTGTGACTCAATCCCTGCTTGTTTTCTAGTCTCATTTTTCACTATTCTTCCTTCCACTCTGATCAAGCTACACTAAACTTCTTTCAGTTCCTTGAATACATCCTGTTTGGCTTCTTGGCTTTTATATGTGTGTCTTCCCACTTTGCTTGGATAACTGACTCATCCCACAAGCCTCATCTTAAATATGGCTTCCTCCAAAAAGTCTTTTCTGGACTCCCAAGTCTAGGTTAAGAACTTCTCTCATGTGCTCCCAGGACACATTTTACTTACTAATTACACTTTATGGTGAGCGCCTGTTTGCTTGTGGATCAGCATGTTAAAGTGGAAACTAAATCCTAGGTGGCAAAAACTCCCATATTTCAAAGAAAGATACTTGTAGAGAAGGAATCTGGAAACCAAGTTAAGGATATACATAATTGAGGTTGAAGTAATCAAGCCATAGTTTGTTTAGAGAATCTGTGAGAGGGGCTTTGAGACAACCAGTTGGAGAGGTTGATATTTGTTGTGAAGTTTCAGGTAACAAAGAGCCTGGGATTTGTCTCACATCTAAGAAGACTGAAAGCAAATGGTGTGGCTGAGGCTGCCTCTCTGGTGGCAGAGCTAAGACCAAGCTGCAAGCAGTGAAAACAAACTGTGTTTTCGCTGACAACAAGGCAGAATGTGTACCAGGGATGTGACGTGGGCAACCAGGAAGGGGATAGTCTGAGGATCATTTTTAAAGGGACCCCATCCAAGAAGGTTTCTAGCCAGAGGCAGGCTGTAGCCAGAAAAAAAGAATGAGAGGTACTATTAGTTGCAGAAATTGAGGGGAGAACTGTAAACAGTCAGCTAGGGAGAGGGAGTTTCAGTCAGATGTTTCCAGTGGGAAAATCGTTAAGAAAACACGAAAGAGTCCCATGAATGAAAGAATTTACTCTGAACATTTTACCAAGCTCAGAGAGCACCAACCCAGGTTATAACTTTACTGGTCAAATAAGACCCCTCCAGCTCCATCCCACCCACAGCAGGCTCCCCTTCCCATAGTAAAGTTTCCAGACTGAAAGTTCTGAATTGAGGGAGGGAAGAAGATTTAACTTGAAATTGAATCAAAGCTTTTATTATTAACTTGGACCTCTTCTTTTAATTTTTGAAATGAGTGTGTTCTCAGGACTAAAAGTGACCAGAGGACTTATTATTATTTAAGTAAGAACAAAGAAATTAGGCTGGATGTGGTGGCTCACCAGCACTTTAGGAGACTGAGATGGGTGGATTACTTTAGGTCCAGAGTTCGAGACCAGCCTTGCCAACACGGTAAAACCTTGTCTCTACTAATAATACAAATACAAAAATTAGCCAGGTGTGGTGGTGGACACCTGTCAGACCAGCTACTTGGGTGACTGAAGCTTGAACCCAGGAGGCAGAGGTTGCAGTGAGCTGAGATCGTCGTGAGCTGAGATCGTGCCATTGCACTCCAGCCTGGGCAACAGAGCAAAAACTCCGTCTCAAAAAAAAAAAAAAAAAAAAAAGAAAGAAAGAATTTATGAAACCTACCTGAGATTTCCAGCCAGAGGGAAAAAATATGGACTACTTGTTGGTTTTAAGGTTTTTTTCTTTGTCTTTGGGTTTTAGCAGTTTGATTATGGTGTGACTAGGTGTAGATTTCTTTGTACACACCCACTTTGTGATTTTCTGACATTTTAAGTCAATGAGTTAATGTCTGCAATCAGTTTGGAAAGTTCTCACCATAATATACTTCTATGTTCCTTCTGTTGCATTTTTTTCCTGTCCTGGAACTCCAGTTACACATATGTTAGATCATTTCATAGTGTCCTACATATTTCTTATGTTTTCTTCTGTTTAACTTTCTAATTATTTTTCCTCTATTTTAGAAGTTTTCTATTGAATTGGCTTTGAATTCACTAATTTTTTTTGTTATCCAGTCTATTTAGTCTAGTTAATTCTTAATTTTAGATATTTTATTTTTTTGTTCTAGAATATCCACATGCTTATTTTTAAAAACATACCATTTCTTTGTTGCAATTCTCTATCTCTTCATCCGTTTTGTTTACCTTTGCCTCTGTTTTCTTCACTGTATGTATAAGAATTATTAAAAATTATTGTAGGCTGGGTGCAGTGGCTCACACCTGTAATCCCAGCACTTTGGGAGACCGAGGCAGGCGGACCACCTAAGGTCAGGAGTTCAAGACCAGCCTGACCAATAATGGAGAAACCTCGTCTCTACTAAAAATACAAAATAGCCGGGCACAGTGTCACATGCCTACAATCCCAGCTACTCGGGAGGCTGAGGCAGGAGAATTGCTTGAACTCGGAAGGTGAAGGTTGTGGTAAGCCAAGATGGCACCATTGCACTTCAACCTAGGCAACAAGAGCGAAACTTCGTTTCAAAAACAACTATATATATATTGCCTACTATTTCCAATATTTGGGTCATCTGTTGGTCTGTTTTTAATTGGCTATGTTTTCCCTCTTCATTATGAACCATGCATTTCAGCTTCTTGTCATGTCATGTGATTTTGAAAATTGTATACCAAGCATTGTATATAAAAGAACTAATATAGATATTATTTTGCAGCTAAGGTGAGGACTTCAATCCAATCAGAAACTGAGCTGGGTTGTAGCTTTAAGTAGTTTCAGTGCAACTGTTGTTTCAAATATCTTGAAGGATATTTTTTTGTGTTCTTATTTTGTTCTCTTTTTTTCTGGCAAGGTTCTCTCATACACTGGAAGATCTCTCTCTACCTTCCCAGCCCAGTTCCCCAGCCACTTTGCCCAGTACTCAACAAAAAGTCTGTGGGAGAAGAAGACCAGTAATTGGAGAAAATAGGTGGGCATTTGTAGATTTTAATCTGTTACATTAGCTCCAGTAAAATCTCCCTGCCTACGGCAAACTCAACACTACAGCTATCTGTGTTCATGCTTGACATATGTTCCCAGGGAGGAAAGGGACTGTTGATCTTTCTTACCTAGAAAAGAATGTTCATGTGAAATTCCATCCCTTTAGATTTTTTTTTTTTGCATTATCGGCTCATTGATAACTTTAAATATATATATATATAAATATATATATACACACACACACACAAAGAAAATATAAATATATATACACACACACACATAAAGAAAATATATATATATATATTTTCTTTAGTGTATCTGGGTGGCTTTGTCTAGTTGTTATTGTTATGGTAATGCCATGGTCTACTGAGATCTTCCATGTACTAAATAAAGCAGTTTACTGAATGGTTTTAAACTAAACTCTTACTGCAGGGAGGAAATAATATGTTTTATTTTCTCTTTGCATCTATTGGGTTCTATTCTTTCAGTGTTTCTACAACATTTGCCTTAGAGTGTGAGCTTTGTGGGCACGACATTATCTATTTTATTCAGCATTATATCTCATGCCTACCAGAGTACCAGCCTCATGGTTGGTATGCAGTACACATTTGTTGAATGACTAAATTATTAGCATGAACACAGAAATAGAGGTTTGAAATGAATAGTATGACATACAAGAATACTACAAGTTATTCTTTATGTTTTAAAACTAGAAATTTAAGTGCAAGGCAGTGATGGATGTTAAGGCTAAAGACAGAGATGGGAAAAAAATTAAGGAAGAGTTTGTAAAGAGCCTGGACTTTATCTTAAGTGTTGGTAGGCTGCTGAGTGGTTTCAAGAGGGGAAGTTATACATACAGTTGTTCATGAAAAATAGATCAATCTGGAAGATGGGTTTAAGTGAGAGGAGACTGCTGGAAGGAGGATGAAAGGGAAGCCATTTTAGTACTTAGGCAGGAAGTGATGAGAGGCTCATTTACAGACAAGAAGAAGGGAGCAAGCACTCTGGGAATATGGCAGCATAGGCTTATTCCTTGACACCCTCCCACTCCCATCTCAATAACACAGAGAGTATGTGGGGATGCGAAGTCTACCTGAGGCTTTAGGACCTAAGGAGACAGTATAGGAACAGAAGAGCACAGGCCAACTTCTGGACAAAATTATTTACAACAATGAGCAGACCTAAGTATTAGTAGATTTGGGGAAGTCTGACAAGCGAATCAATCCCATAGCTTATTGAGAGACTGTAATCACTTGGCCAGGTGATCCCTATGCATTCTGAGAGACATATGGAATCTACTTGAAATTTCCAGCCCTGAGAGAGCCCCAGTCCTTCTTAAGCTGCCATCCTGGTGAGGAAGCACCTTCCTTACCCCTCACTTCATGGATGTCTACCATTGCCTAAGACCCTTCTAATAATCTGACATACCAGAAGCAGTGGGGACCGACACCATTGGACATTGGTAGGAAAAGAAAGGTCAGGTATCACCCAAAGGGTCTCGGGAGCTTGAAAGAGGGACTTGAATCAAATAAACTCAGCAGCTTGTTGACCAAGAAGGTTTGGTAAAGAAACCAGTGAATTTATAAATGATTATAAGGAGAATTATTGAGGAGGTACAAGAAGCTATTGTGAAAGACCAATTGAAGAGAAAAAAGGATTTCTTGAAATAAAATTTAATTTTGGACTTTAAAATCCAACAGATTACCTGAGTAATAGGACAGAAACTGCTGAAAAATTGAACATAGATCTAGATCAAATGAAGGAACATACTCAGGATGAAAACATAAACAAAGGCCAGGCGCGGAGGCTCATGCCTGGACTCTCAGCACTTTGTGAGGCCAGGTAAACAGATACTTGAGGTAAGGAGTTCAAGACCAGCCTGGGAAACAGAGCGAAACTCCATCTCTACTAAAAATACAAACATTAGCCAGGCATGGTGGTACACGCCTGTAATCCCAGCTACTCAGGTGGCTGAGGCAGGAGAATTGCTTGAAACCAGGAGGCAGATGTTGCAGTGAGCCGAGATCACGCCACTGCACTCCAGCCTGGGTGACAGAGAAAGACTCTGTCTCAAAAATAAATAAATAAATACATAAATAAAATGAAACAGCAAGTTAAACAATGTATTATGGAAGACCTAATATGGTAAAAATAAGGGTTTCAAAGAAGAAATTATTAAAAAATTATTTTCTGAGGAAAACTCAGATTCTGGAAACATTTAGGAAATGAATACAATTAAGACCCTTTGATATTATTTAATTATGTTTTCAGAAACAGCGACAATCTTTCTAATTAATTTTTGTATTTCCCAAAAGTTTATTTAAAAGCTGTAATACTTTAGATTAATTTTATTTTAGGAATAAGTCTGAGATAATATTAATGAATTAAAAACCTATCATACAGAGTTGCTTTCTAGTAAGTAAGAGATAAAATTACTCTAAATATTTCTAGCATTGTGCATAGAAGAGATAAACAGTTATGGACAGGTTTACTTCCTTTCTACATGACCAAGATTTTTTTCCTCTCCCACCTCCCATCCAGTTTTCCGTGATGTCTGATAATTTACCATTAAAAATGCACTCCTTTAGGGGTGAGAGCTAAAAATAAAATCCTAAGCCTCCAACCAACCAAATAGGCCCTGTTTGGCCAAGGGGACCTCAGAGAAACCTTAAAATAATAATAATAAAAAGACCCACCTGAGTTCCCGACCATGATGGGATGGTAAGTCAGACGCCTCATTATATTCCCTTCCTTTTGCTGTTTAGACACAACAGCTGACAGCATTAATGTTAAAACAGAGATCATAAGAGTGACAGAATAGACTGTTTATGGCAATAAGATACCAAATTGTAAACAAGACCTATGGCCATGCCAGGCAAGGGTTAAGTCGCACGCTTTGCACTTAACGAATAAACTGTGCTCTAATTCCCACAGGGTTTCTTCTCCCTCTTTCTCCAGCAGCTAAACAACACTAGCTTTGAGATAAATGATGTTGAAGCAGTTACAGCTCCCCAGCATCAGACACTGAATAACTGAGCTCCCCCCCACCCCCCGCCATTACACAAGCCACAGTGACAGCTTTGATTGGACAAGAGACAGATTTCTGTAATATTCTCCTGATAAGAGACCACCAACCATGGACTGGTTCTGGCTGGTTTTACAAAGGATGCACATTTGAGCGCCTTCCTGTCCCTTCTTCACCTAATTGTATACATTTAAATGTTAAATCTCCATCCCAATGGAACTTGGGACGCAGGTAACATGCATGTTTGCCTATCATGCATGCTCACGCCCTTTCATGAATATTCATAGCTCTTCCTATGTCCTGTTGACTATGTATACTTTGCCAACCCCTTCAGCTTAAATTCCTGTGTTACTCTTCCCTCTGTTGAAGGGTTTGCTTTAGGTTTTTTCCAGTGACAGGCTGCCCTTCCTGCCTGCAGGTTGTAATTCCATTCTTAAGAAATAAAACTCACCTTTCTAAATTTATAAATTGTGTGATTTAAGGTAACAAGGGTAAGGTAGTATATTTCCAGAAGACTGCCAATATAAAATTTTAATTCAGTTGTCCATGGACACAGTCAATGTTAATTTGTTATCACTTATGAGTTAATTTGTTAGCTGAAGGGAATGTAATAAGACCAAGTTGCTTGTAAAGGGTATTGGGTAAACTGGATTAGATTATTAGGGAGGCCAGTCCTATGTGAGAGGTTTCACTGGGTTTTCAGTGGGCAGCCTATGAGCCCAGACCTGAAATCAGAAGAGGCGGAAACAGAGAGAAAAGGAAGAAGAGTGATCAAAGGACAGATGGTAAGTACCAAAGACAAAGCCCACCAGTTTCATAAAGTTACTCAGGTTGACCCCATTTCCAGGGTAAGATATTTTCACATACTTATTACTTATGATTATATACATTTTAAAAATTGTTATTAGCATGAGGGGCTGCATATATATTTTGTAATACCCACACTTATAAATTAGTTGTAACTGGCTTCAGATTTAGCAAGTATATTATACAGGGTCCTGACAGGAAATAGGTGGCAAATCCAAAGGATTTAACTGAAAAGATTTTAATTTGAAGAGTTGCAGTGAGGGTTAAGCACATTAACAAGGGATGGTAAGGAACCCAGGGGCCAGCAAAAGTGGGATGGCTTTCCCACACTGCAGTAGGTTGATGAATGCCCTCCGCCACCAAGGAATCCATATCCTAAGTCCCAGACTCTCTGAATATGTTACCTTACATCGCAAAATGGACTTTGCATATGTAATCAAGTTAAGGATCTGGAGATGCAGAGATGATCCTAGATAGTCTGGGAGGGCCCAATGTAATCACAAGGGTTCTTAATATAAGAGGAAGATACTAACCAGGCATGGTGGCTCACGCCTGTAATCCCAGCACTTTGTGAGGCCGAGGTGGGTGGATTGTGAGGTCAGGAGATGGAGACCATCCTGGCTAACATAGTGAAACCCTGTCTCTAATAAAAATACAAAAAATTAGGTGGGCCTGGTGGCGGGCACCTGTAATCCCAGCTCCTCGGGAGGCTGAGGCAGGAGAATGGTGTGAACCCCAGAGGCGGAGCTTGCAGTGAGCCAAGATCTTGCCACTGCACTCCAGCCTGGGCGACAGAGCGAGACTCAGTCTCAAAAAAATAAAAATTAAAAAAAAAAAAGAGGGAGATATTAGAGTCAGAGAGAAGTTGTGAGGACAGAATCAGAGGTCAGAGACTGGAGTAATGAGGTTTGGAGATGAAGGAACCAAGGAATTTAGGTGACCTCTAGAAGCTGGATCCTCTCTGGAGTTCAGCAAAGTGAAAAGTGTGTCATGATAATAACAAATGACTTCCTTTTTCATTTTCATTCCTACAGTGAAGTTTTCTAGAGGCTGCATGATGTGCAATATTGTAGCAGAGTGAGTGCAGGACTGAATGTGACTCTATCAGGCCAATAGCAGAGATGTGAAAAAATGTAAAACAGTGGCACGTTTCTCCCTAGTATTTTTTGAAAATCTGTTTTTTTAAATAAAATAATTTTATAAAAGTATTATGAATCATTTAAAAAATTATATTAACATTATGTTAACATGCTAATATGGTAAAATTTTCTGCTTGGATTTTGATTACACCGAATATTTATAACTATAACTCACACAAATAAAAGCTCTTTGTTGTTCTCAATAATTTTGAAGACTGTAAAAAGTTTGAAAATCGCTGACCTAGCAAATGACTGATCATGAGCAGCTAGTATTTGTACCTGCCCAGCAGTGTGGCAATTCCTCATCCTTCTCATATCTGCACTTTAATTTCCCTTTGACAAATATCTCTGCCTCCTCTCAGTCCATGACATGAGGTTCACATGGGGTTAACTTAATTCCCTAGCTCAAGGGAAAGGCACTTAATTCAGACTTGTTTCCAACCATTCCTGAAGCTAGACTTAGTCCTAGTTTTCAATAACATGAACCAATCCATTTTCACATGAGTCCAAAAGAATTCTATGTTAATACACTAAGGTACTAGGAAATAGAGTTTGAGAAACGTTGATCTAAATATTGTGTTATTTATAGCGGAGTATTGACATAAACTTTGAATCTTCAATTATGTTCTGGGGTCTTGGCATCTCTTAATACCTATTAGCTTACAAGGCTTTCACTTAACTATTTTATTTAACTATTTTGTTCACATTAACTATTTTATAATTTTGATAATGAATTGATTAATATATTGTTAAAATAAATATATTAATGAATTTATGATAAGACAGACATGCAATTGGGAAGACATGTTAATAATACAATCACTGTCAGCTTAGGATAGCTTCTGGCCACTTTCTCTCTGGGTGGTGGTTACTCTGGGAGTAGTTTAAATCATTATCTTTCCCTAAGAGCTTTCTCTGACTCCCCACATTTGCATTGTACTTGCAAAATCCAAGTACAGTGAGAGTCTTATAATAATACTAGGGTCTAAAGACCTAATTGTATACATTTAAATGTTGAATCTAACATTTTTAATCTCCAGTCTAAAGACCCTAGTATCATCATAAGATTCTCACTGGACTTGCACTTTGCCTTCAAAGTACTAATCACGGTTTTGTTAGTGATTTGTGTGATGATTTGTTGAATCTTTTTTTTTCCCCACTAGGATGTAAGCCCCATGTTCTATCTTGATCACCACGTTTCTAGGATCCAGCCCAGTGCTGGCATATAGGGGTTCTCTCTGACATATCTGTAGAATAAAATGAAGAAATGCATGAGTGACATGCCAGGAGAATTTAAGGGTGCCATGGGAGCATAAAACAGAGGGAGCCACCTGGGTTAGGAGACCTGAGAAAGACTTCTAGAGAAGCGACATTTGAGCTGAGTAAGGAAAGACAAGTGGGAGAGTCCTCCAGGTGTAGGAGTTGGAGAGAGGGGTACTCCAGTTAAGGGTAAGCATTTGAAGCTGATATAGAAAAGGAGTCTTGAGCCAGCTTGTGAAGGAACATTAGACGGTTTTATTTTTATCTTTTTTTTTTAAATTTTTGAGACAGAATCTTGCTCTGTCTCCCAGGCTGGAGTGCAGTGGCATGATCGTGGATCACTGCAGCTTTGACCTCCTAGGCTCAAGCAATCCACCTATCTCAGCCTTCTGAGTAACTGGGACCGCAGATGTGCACCAAAATGCCTGGCTAATTTGTTCATTTTTTGTAAAGATAGGGTCTCCCTGTGTTCCCCAGGCTATTCTCGAACTCCTGGGCTCCAGTGATCCTATGCCTCGGCCACCCAAAGCACTGGGATTATAGAAGTGAGCCACTGCGCCTGGCCTATTGAAGGTTTCTAATTTCCAGAGTTTCGACTTTATACCAACAACTCTTAGAAGCCATTAAAGGATTGCAGGTATGGAAATGACATATACTTTTGCTTTTAGAAGAAAATCCTGGCCGGGCGCGGTGGCTCACGCCTGTAATCCCTGTACTTTGGGAGGCCGAGGCGGGCGGATCACATCCTGGCTAACACGGTGAAACCCCGTCTCTACTAAAATACAAAAAAAATTAGCCGGGCGCAGTGGCGGGTGCCTGTAGTCCCAGCTACTCGGGAGGCTGAGGCAGGAGAATGGCGCTAACCCAGGAGGCGGAGCTTGCAGTGAGCCGAGATCAAGCCACTGCACTCCAGCCTGGGTGACAGAGTGAAGACTCCGCCTCAAAAAAAAAAAAAAAAAAAAGAAAAAGAAAATCCTGATCAGTATGCACAGAATTCTTCGGGAGGCAAATGTGATTCATTCAGATAAGATATAGTGTGGCTTAGACTGGGAGACTGGCAGAGGCTTTGAAGATTCTTTTGCTCAAATTTTATTCAGCAAGTATTTACTGTGCACCTACTATAGCAGGCAACAACATTTTAGGAAATGGTGAATGTTATAGAGGTGAATAATACAGCAGGAGTCCTTGAACATACGGAGTTTACCTATTAATTGGAGAGTGAATGTTGACAAAGGAATAAGTAAATACATGGGCAAGAAAAATACATTACCTGTGAAAGAGCAGCAGGTAGACTGACAGTGGAGTATCTAATACAGTCTATGGAAGCCAGAATATAGTAGGATGACATTTTTGGAGTGCTAGTAGAAATGTCATATGAAGAACTCTGTAGGAATGTAACATATGGTCCCATATATGAAGCTCCTGGGTCAAGCACACCTGAACATGATTTGAGGGACTTTCCTGTAACCTGAGGATCAAGATGTCAAGGAATTAAAAACATGTATAAAACATTGTATAAAAACCCATGAAAAAGAATGGAAGACACTATAGTAAAGTCATTGTGGGTATAGTTGTTATAACACATTTTTAAAATCTTTGATCCCAATAAATATTTATAAGAAAGAAGAAATATGGAATTATTTCCTGAGTCAAGGAGGGAGGAGAGAATGAGGAAAAAGAGGAGGAGGAGGAGGAGGAGGAGGAGAAGAAGACAATAAACCTACTTCCCAAAGTTAACAAACAAAAAATAGGAAGAGGCCAAAGACTACAAGTAGTAGAAGATTAACATCAAGTGTTTGTATGTTTGAGTTGGAAAATTTTTTGTCCTTCTCCACCAAGCTAGATACACATATAAATGCTAAAGGCATTTTTGAATTTGAATAGATCATTTTCTCTGTATGGGTGCCTTTTAAAAAAATCCAACCTGGTCACTCTTCCTTAACATTTACTGAGGTCTAAGTGTTCAATTTAGAACACATGCTTTAATAACTCGGAGACCTGTCATTTGTCACAAATCTTGCCTAGAGAAGTACTCATTAGCGAATTAGGCAGAAAGAGGATGCAAAATAAAAAGGCATAGTAGTCCCTTGATATCCATGGAAGACTCGTTCCAGGACACCACCAAATCCCTACCCGCAAATACCAAAATCCATGGATGTTCAAGTTTCTTAACATATCATGGCATAGTATTTGCTTTTAACCTATAGACATCCTCCCATATACTTGAAATTATCTCTAGATTATTTATAATACTTAATACAATGTAAATGCTATGTAACTAGTTGTGAATCATTTAGGAAATGATCACAAGAAAAAAAGTCTACACGTTTAGTCCAGACACAGCCATCCTTTTTTTTTTTTCCAAATATTTTTGATCCATGGCTCACTGAACCCACAGATGTGGAACCCATGGATACTGTGGGATGACAGTATTAATAAAAAAGTGGAAACATCCTAAGTTTCATGGGTGTTTAAATTGGTCAGCAACCTCCTTCTGAAGTATCAGAATTTTGTGAGCAATGTTAATATTTTTGTTTTCTCACTAAGGGCCACAGTTCTGAATAGAGGTTTTTAAAAAGCCCTAGCAAGGTTTCTTTAGCAATGAAACTAACATTTAACTATATTATCAGCTTCGTGTTACATCTCTTTCCTGACGGTTGGGTGAGCCCTCCTCAGATGCTTGCTTCTGGCTACACACCCCTTTACCCTTTTCTCTGCACCATTTTCACCTTTATAAAGTCAGAGTTGGTGTCTATAGGCTCTCTACTGCCACATTCAAGACCTGCCTCACTCAATATCACGTTCAAGATGCAGAAATAGGGATATGGGAAGGGAATTCTGGAATTTTCGAAGTCTTCGAAAATACTTTGAGAAACTTTATTTGGAAGCACTTTGGGGGGCGAGGTTGGACAGGAAGGGTCTTCAGAGACCATGAAATTCAACTTTCTAAATCCTAGGGAGGAAACCGAGACTCCAGGATGTGAACTGCAGGAGAAATGTCTGAGGTGCAATCCTTATCCTTTAGCAAAAGTCTCCTCTGCGTCTTCCTTAGGCCATCTCTTGGACCTCCAGAAAGACAGCTGAGAATGGCAGGCGGAGTCTGGAACCACTGGAGTCGCCCCCAGCCGCCTCCTCGGAGGGCCCCCACGAAGGAGGCCCTTCAGTGACAGTGATTGAGAGAGAGGGAGGGCGAAAGGAAGGAAGGGGAGCCAGAGGTGGGAGTGGAAGAGGCAGCCTCGCCTGGGGCTGATTGGCTCCCGAGGCCAGCGCTCTCCAAGCGGTTTATAAGAGTTGGGGCTGCCGGGCGCCCTGCCCGCTTGCCCAGGCGCCCCAGGAGCCAAAGCCGGGCTCCAAGTCGGCGCCCCACGTCGAGGCTCCGCCGCAGCCTCCGGAGTTGGCCGCAGACAAGAAGGGGAGGGAGCAGGAGAGGGAGGAGAACGCCGGAGCCAGAGGGCCGAGCGCCATGCGCCGCGCCAGCAGAGACTACACCAAGTACCTGCGTGGCTCGGAGGAGATGGGCGGCGGCCCCGGAGCCCCGCACGAGGGCCCCCTGCACGCTCCGCCGCCGCCTGCGCCGCATCAGCCCCCCGCCGCCTCCCGCTCCATGTTCGTGGCCCTCCTTGGGCTGGGGCTGGGCCAGGTCGTCTGCAGCGTCGCCCTGTTCCTCTACTTCAGAGCGCAGGTGAGTGGCCACATTCCCATGGGCGCGCGGCCGGGAGCGCCCTTCTCGTTCCCCTGCACTTGAGAACTGAGTCCGGCCGCGGGGCTGGGCTCCCCAGAGCTTGCATATTCAGGAGGGGGAAAGTGACTCTGAGAGAGGGAGTGTCGAGTTTGGGGACAACTTGGCGCGGGGCTGTCGGGCACACTCTGCTCTCTCTGGGCGCACTCTGTTCTCTCTCCGCGCACGCACCCCAGCTCCGCGGTGCGCCGAGGGCAGGCTCCCCTGGCCAGACGATGGGTTTGAATCTCACCCCGTCCGCAGGCTGGGAAACAGCACTGGCCTCTCACCTCTTCTGGTAGTGATTGCATGCTTTTTCTCCCTGTCATTTCTCACTTGAAGTTAAGAATCAACTTCTGTTCATGTAGGAAAAAAATTGAGCGCCTTCACTTAGGCATCTGCCTTTCTCTTCCCACCCACCACCCGGCGGATTTCGGTGCCTGCGCCTGGCTGCTCTGCAGGTGTGCTGGGGCCACAGGGCTGGAGGGCTGCGCGGAGCGGGAGGTCGCGGTGCTCGTGCCCAGGTCGCCCAGTGGGTGGGCAGAATGACACGGCGCGACCAGAGAGGCGCGGGCTCGGCATGGGGGCTCTGCGGCTGTGGCGCTGTCCTGTGGGGGTGAAGGAAGAAGGACAGCCCCACGTGCCTGTCAGGGAGGTGGGCGGAGGAAGGAAGCGAGGTGTGTGTGATGGCACGGTGTTACTACAGTCTAGCAAATAACCAACCTTTGAAAAGATGAAGAGGTTTTTTGCACGACGGCTAGGAACTGCAGGGAGATAGTAGGAAGGAAGGGGTAAATTTGTAATATTATGCTTTCTGGTGGTTTATGCTCTTGTGTTTTCTTGGAAATTGCAGTGCAGTTGGTTGGATTCATTCAAATATTCTTGTCTGGTGCTGTGAACTCTTTCTCAGAGGAAGTGGGGGGCTGACTGTGCATTTTTTTTTATGGGAAAAGAAAGTTGGGTTTGGACTACATTCGTTTTCAGATTCAAAGGTGATTACTAAACCAAACGGGATGCATCAAAACATGGCATTGCTTGGATTGTATGGTTTTTTGACATGTGCCAATGTCTCGAACTCCATTACTTTTAATCATAGGCTTTTTGTTAAGAATTCATTATCCGCTAGTTTGCATTTTCTAGAACTAGTGTGATTACCTACTAAAAGTAGAAATGCAGTGAGCCACACTTAAAATCTGCATTAAATATAATCTACCCATTGAGAGTTTTTTTCTAAAAAGACAACTTTTGAGTGATTTACTTGCAACACAGATAACACAAATCTATGTGAAAGTGACTAAACGTCTTTCTTTCATTGGAGTGTGTTGCAATAAGAATGGTTTACCCATTTTCCCATCCAGCATTTTGTTCATAATCATCCCATTTAGTGCTTGTGCATGGAGTGCCAGCGTGGTGCATGGCACCATCACATGCCATGGAATGAGTTAAGAATCATTTTTTAAACACACAGTGCCCACTTACTATGGGCGTGGAGCCGAGGGGCCTAATAAAACCACTAAAATTCTTAATCAAACAAAAGAGCAACATTCAGAAAAGGGATCAAAGAGGCAGTAGTTCTCCACTGTCTGTCTTTTCTAACACCTTAGGGATATGGCATTTTCATTGCCATGACAGTGAAGAGTGTCCAATGTTGAAAGAGCAGTCGGAAATGAAGGAGTTCTAGGAACCATGAACAGCTTGACTTGGCAGGAGCTGTGGAAATCGGTGGCATGGCTGTGTAGGAAAGAGTGACTTGCTCGGCTCTTGTTAGAGTTGTTCAGCTTTTCCCTAGGAATTCTCGGTGGTCCCCGCGGGCTGAGGAGTCGGGGCTTTCAGTGATCTCCCATTATCATTTAGCAGTCTTGATGCTGTATGGATAACTAGTGAAACACTCAGAACCCCTTTTCAAAGTAAACATGTGAGTTAGTAAGTCTAGCCAGAAAATATTCCTTTGGAGAAGTTAATATCATCAGACTTCTGGGTACGGTTTTCTTAAATACCATGAAGATTCGGTTCCTTTGACTTGTGCAAAATAATTTAGCCATTACTCCGAACCCAATTTTGTACTGCATTTTAAAAAGGCCATCTCCTTCAGTAAAGAAAAAATATTAGGAACAATGTGTTCATGTGAATATACCACTAGATCTGGATGCATTTTAGTGGATATTGTGTCTACAATTGTTACCCAAAGGAGTCCTAATCATTTTGAGATACATTCTGAAATCGTTACAGATAAAAATGCTGTGGTGTCTGGAATTTGTTTCAAAATAATTTCTGGTTGCTTACAGATGAAAAAAGATTTGCCATACATTGGTAATAGCTGAAGCGCTGATGGGTGCATTGGGGTTCACTCTGTAATTCTTTCCCCTTTTATATGTGTTAGAGACCTTCTTTCAAAGTCCTAGCTAAGAGAATAGTCTCCATTTGACCTGCCGCTGATTTAGCATTTTCACTTATGTCGGCTCTTTTGGATTGGAACTTGGTACCAAATAAATCATAGTAGTTTTATGATTCCCACTAAAGTTGTGAATCAACTATTTGGGGTTTCTAAATGCATTTGAATGAGAACAAAGTATCTCGTAACATGTTTGTAGTTTACAGTTAAAAATGAGGAATTAGTTTTATTGTTTTTGTTTAAAGGTGGAGAAAAGAAGGTATGCAAATCCTCAAGGAAAAGCAGTTTGAGTTTTTAAATGCATTTAGAAGAATGCCCAGAATAGTGTAAAAATTACAGTGGCTATTTAAAAAGTTTTGTTTTCTTAAATGTGTGAATAGATAAAATTGAATCAGCCTCCTAAATGTTTGCAGATTGCGTGTGCCTCGATGTTAAAAAATACGTATCTACTTGATCCAGTGTAGCTTGGCTTTTCCCCCACCACCCTGCCAAAGAGAAAATAGTGTGTGGCTTCTGCTATATATTTACCACATAGTATTCATACTTTGGTTTACAAAGAAAAAAAAAAAAAACCCTTTCAAAAAGTTGGTGTGTGTGTGTGTGTGTGTCTTTAACATCCGTATAACCATATTCAAAGCTTAGGGTTTAGCTATAAAGATAAGCTTTTCAGAAAACTCAAGATCTTTTGCTCTTTTAACTTCTTCCCTCGATCCCCCAATATGCACAAACCAACCTCCCTAGTTGTTTGTTACCTAGGACAGCAGTCACTACTGAAAATCTGATGTAGAGGTGTGCACTGCCTGTTTGAAAACACAGATAACGAAGTAGCACAAACGTCAAGCATCCTGCCTCATTTAACCCTACAAATGATTAAGTTTCAAGGAAGTTAAAAGAAAATGAGGCAGTTTATTTCATAGGCACCACGTTCTCTGACAAATGCATTTTAACAGTCCATTTTAAGTCAGATACTCAAGATTCACTTCATGTTTTTAGACATGTCTAAGTACAATGAATTCATTTGCTACTTAGTTTACGGTGACTTTTGGTTGAATTTCTGTGTTTCTCAATGACGTGTAAGTTCCATAAAGACAGGGACTGCTTGCTTTGCACACCACCTTATTCGTAGCATCTAGCCCAGTGCCTTGTATGCCTGCAAAGTCATACAAGTATTTACTACAAAGTCTTTTCTAATGATTTGCAACACTACAGATATGTCTGTTTCTGACTGTAATATGCAAATTATCAGATTAGTAGCTAAAAGAGTATACTTTTTCAATCATGCAGTCCTCCAACCAGACTAATGTGTGCCAATAGATAAGTTGTTGGGTAGGTGATACATTCATTCAGTCAGTTTGTGGGCATTTGCTGAGGGTCCAGCATCCGTCTGGTTCCCTCCCTGCTCTGCAGTTCCTTCAGCTTAGAGACCCTCATTTACCTGTGTGTGTGGCTGGCCTTGCACCCTGAACCTCTCCTCCTCCCTCTTCTCCTAGTGTCCATTTTCAGGAAAGGAGAGCTACAAGGGCACCGGAATGAGAAAGACATGTGGTTGTAGGTTAAAAATAAATTTCTAATGTGTGATCCTTGAGTAAACAAAATAAATGAGTATATTAAAAGCAATTATGCCATGCATTCTTGATTTCTTTTGGGAAAAAACAATGGATGGGGTTTTATACATATTTTAGCTCTAATGCTGCCTTCCAAAACAGTGGTTCTCAATTGCACATTCGAAGTATTTGGGAAGAGGTTCAATGATTGGACCCTACCCTTAGGGATGTTGATGAAATTGGTCAGTGAGGGGTGGGGTAGGAGTGAGATGGGATCTGGATGTGGGCATTTTTTTAACAGAAAGGGGACAAAATCTTTGCATTGTACTTATTTGCATCAAATCAGTAACCATGATTAACTGTTGGAGTATCTTTGTACTAATTGATGTTACTTGTGAAACAATTTTAAAATTGGTATCCAGGGAACTTTGGAATTGTTTTAATAGTAGAAAATCTATATTTTACAGCATGACTTCTTAAACTTTAATGTGTGTAAGAATCACCTGGGATCTAGTTAAAATGCATATTCCCAGGCAGTATGCCAGGGTGAAGTCTGAAATTCTACATTTCTAGCAAGCCCTCTGTGAGCCCACGATGCTACTGAATGGACTACCCTGAGTATCAAGAATATAGGGGCCAGGTGCAGTGGCTCATGCCTGTAATCCTAGCACTTTGGGAGGCCAAGGAGGGAGGATTGCTTAAGCCCAGGAGTTCAAGACAAGCCTGGGCAACATAGCAAGACCCCATCTCTACCAAGGAAAAAAAAAAAAAAAAGAAAGAAATTAGCCAATTAGCCAAGCATGGTGGCCTGCACCTGTAGTCCCAGCTACTTGGAAGCCTGAGGAAGGAGGATTGCTTGAGCCCATGGATTTCAAGGCTGAAGTGAGCTATGATTATGCCACTGCACTCCAGCCTGGGTGGGGGTGACAGAGCAAGACTCTATCTCCAAAAAAAAAGAAAAGAAAAAGAGAAAGAAAAAGAATAAAGGGGACTGCTGCTTCTGTTAGACAGCTCTTAGCTTGTTGGCAGGACTCCAGATGAACCAAGTTTAGGGTCCCCAGGCATTTCCCCACTAAGGCCACATTATTCCTTTTGCTCAGCAGTTTTCTGGTGGTGTGTCAGTTCAGGCCTTTGCATGATTCTTCTTTCCTGAGGTCTAAACCCAGTGACCCTTCATATCAGTTGCCTAGGCTTTTCTGGTCTTGTGGGATACACACTGGCATAAGTAAGCCTTTTTTTGCCAAGTGTGTGATTGAAAACTTTCCTTGTATAAAAATTCACATATTATGACTTGTATTAATTATTCTAAAGAATATAGGAAAAATAAATACAGATTGTACACAGTTTTGCTTCACGGTGATGTCTCTTCCGTGATGATTATAGATAGTCCTTATATGTGCAAGACTGGAAGAATAAAATTTGTATTCGTGAGTGTACATTTGTTAAAAGGCTGTCATTTTGGCCGGGCGCGGTGGCTCACGCCTGTAATCCCAGCACTTTGGGAGGCCAAGGCAGGAGGATCACGAGGTCAAGAGATCAAGACCATCCTGGCTAACATGGTGAAACCCCGTCTCTACTAAAAATACAAAAAAATTAGCCGGGCGTGGTGGTGGGTGCCTGTAGTCCCAGCTACTTGGGAGGCTGAGGCAGGAGAATGGTGTGAACTCAGGAGGTGGAACTTGCAGTGAGCCGAGATGGTGCCACTGCACTCCAGCCTGGGCGACAGAGTGAGACTCCATCTCAAAAAAAAAAAAAAAAAGGCTGTCATTTCATTTTGAGAATCTCAGATATGGATAGGCTCTTTTTAGTTTATTTCTAATGGTTGGTTGATAAACTAACACATCATTCCGATTACTTTTTAAAAGAGAAAAAGAGAGACTTGTCATTAATTTGACTGAGCTTTGTAAACTTATGTAGCTTTTCTTTTTCGCCTAGTTTGTGCCTGCTAATAAGAAAATACAGATGAAGTACCTTGAATATTTAACAAACAAAGAGGACAAATTAAATTCTCATTATTAAAACAGGTGATAGCTAATTATTGCCACCCTTTACTTGGCAATTGAAACCCCTGCAAAGGCTTGGAAGGAGCAGGCTGACAATTTTAAAGAGTAGTGATTAAAGATATTCTAATGCTGGACATCTGTTCTTAACAGGCAATCAGCTAATTACTCAATGAGTATATTTTGGGTGGGACAATTCCTTACATGACAGGAATCTTAGCATCCCTCCAGCACACATCTGTAATATCTGCTCATGCAGCCCCCCCACCCTAATGTGATGACACCAGATATCACCTGCACCCATTCCCGAACACCCCCTGACAGGTATACCATTCCGGCTTGAGAAACACTGATGAGAGAGTCAACAAAAAAGAGAGATTACACGTCTGACTTCGAGTTTTGTTTAGAGGTAAAAAATGGATTTTTCTCTCCCTTCTTTGGCTGATTAAGGAAAAAAGGCCAGGCAAACATGGTGGTTAAAGATGATGTTGATTTCGCCTGTTTTAGGTAGGCTTCATGCGTTGCATTTCAAAGTGGGCCTCATAATCCCAGCTAGCATGTTGCATCTAGTTGGTTTAAAGACAAAAAGCTTCCTCTCCCTACAGTGATCACATGTGATTTCCTTGGTGCCCCTCTCCTCTATGAACACTTTCATGTTGTCAGACAATTTTGACAATTTCCCCCATGAATCACGCACATACACTTCTGTCATTGTTAAAAGCCCACCGCAGGACTAACTGTGCCTTGTCCTGTGGATGACAGTCAGCTACTCATTCAAATGAATTAGAAGTCATGTTTTCACATCTTGAGGGTCATTGTATTAACTATTGATTGTTGGGGACATAAAGACTCTTGCAAGTATGAAATTTTTGTTCTGAAGTCACACTTCATTAAATAGCAGGATGATTAGTGATAAGCACTCTAACCTCCTTACTGTTTCTCCTCCCCAGATGGATCCTAATAGAATATCAGAAGATGGCACTCACTGCATTTATAGAATTTTGAGACTCCATGAAAGTGCAGATTTTCAAGACACAACTCTGGAGAGTCAAGATACAAAATTAATACCTGATTCATGTAGGAGAATTAAACAGGCCTTTCAAGGAGCTGTGCAAAAGGTAAGTCCACATTGAGGCTGATAAGTCAAGGGCCCTTGCTGACTCTACCAATACTGAAAATTAAAACTGGCTAAGTGCTGTTGACTTTGTTCTTTTTATTCTAATAATTTGTAAAAGAGCTACAGGGAATGCTTTAAAGAGATTAGCAGAATTCTTTTGAAGTTGGTAGTGATTGATTATGGCAACCAGGGACATTCATGCAAATATTCTTTTCTTTCTTTTCTTTTTTCTTTTAAAGAGGAGGGATTTAAATTCACGCTTGGAAGAGAGACTAAGGTGGCTGTGGCCTGTCTGTGAGTCAGTTTGCTAGTTTGAATTCTCTGACCTAGAAACCATCCGCTCAGTTCACAGAACTTTCTGGTAGCTGTTTCCTTTCTGTTTGGCTTCATAATGGCAGGACCCCCTATTGCACATCTGTTGATCCAGGGCTCTGATGAGAAGCAGTTGTAACTCTTGGTCCTTTGCTGTCATCTGCGGTGAAGTAGGGAGAGCAGGAAGCAATGTGAGATGGAGATTCTGTGTCCATGTTCTCATTTTCTGGGAGAGCTGAGTGACAAGAGAAGAGTTAGGGACAGAGCAGACCAATGACTTCTCTTACACCGACAGCCCCAGTTGGGAGACACTGTAATAACTGCCAGTTTTACTTTCTTGGACAAAGCCACCTGAGAATTCTGCAGCCCAAGAATTATTTTACTCACTGACTCCACCAAAACCCAGGTAGAACACAAACAGTGACCCCCGTGCAAAACCTGTGTGTGCGTTACATACCTGCATGCATGCATGCCTCCATTTACACATCCCAGCCTCTATCTAGCAACTCCCCGGGTCTCTGGTCATTCCAGAGTAACTCTTGAAGTTCTCAAAGCCCTTACCTCTAAATTTAATTTTAATTTAGTTTATTTTTTTAGAAATCCACACATAGTAATATAATTATTTAAAAAGAGGGCATGTGTCTGAGGCAGAGGTAGGAAGATGTAGCTGTTGTGTACAGCCAGCTAACAAAGGTGAACGAACATCTGTAATACCATCAGAAGCAGAGGTAGGAAGATACAGCCATTTTATAAAGCCAGCTAACAAAGGTAAACGTCTGTGATACCCTGAAAGTTGAGATTTGCTGTATTTTATTGAATCTAAGATACCAATTTTCAGCCTTCTTTGTTATTTCATGCATCACTAAGAAAGAAGAAGCTGTTGATTAAAAAAATTAAACATGATCATCACAGGTTCTAGTTGCATCTTACTTCCAGAGATATCAAAATGTTTAAAGTTGTGCATCGTAGAATGCATGAAGTACCTCTTAGTTTAATGTGTCTATAAGAAAACACATTGCTTATGAAAGTTACTTTTTCATTATAATTAGTGTGTCGGTGCTTGGCTTTATGCAGAGTAGATGTATATGTTTAAACTCAGTGATCCTTAATCTTACAGTATATTTTTTGAGCTATAGCAACAGCAATTCTGTTAATCTATTCATTTTTATTGTTCTGTTTTACATTTTCTTTTCATTCGTTTGCTTTTTATCCCATTTGTGAAGCTTATCTCTTAAATACTGAGTAATCTGTCTATAAACAACCTATTGACATGCACTAGGGGCAATCTGCTAGTTCAAAATGGCATTTCATATTAAGGTAATTCTGATTAGGCAAAAGATTGTGCCCTAATGTTCTGTTTAGATTGACCCATGTTGTAACTCCTCAAAATGACGAGATAAACTTTTTATTTCAGTGGTGTGCTGGCTCTTAAAAGTTACCCTTCGAGTTTCTTATGGAGGAATAAATACGGAAAATCAGCCAGGTTAATTCTGAAAATAAATAATATGACAAACGAGGGCAGGTGTGGTGGCTCACACTTGTAATCCCAGCACTTTGGGAGGCCGAGATGGGAGGATCACGTGAGTCCACGAGTTTGAGAACATGCTGGTCAACGTAGTGAGACCTCCATCTCTACAAAAAGTAAAAGAAACATTAGCTGGGCATGGCAACCTGTGCCTGTGGTTCCAACTACTCAGGAGACTGAAGTGGAAGGACAACTTGGGACTGGGAGCTGGATGCTGCAGTGAGCTGCGGTTGCACCAATGCACTCCAGCCTGGCAGCCTGGGTGACGTAGCAAGACCCTGAAAAAAAAAAAAAAAGAAAGAAAGGAAGGAAGGAAAGAAGGAAGAAAGGGAAAAGATTATTAACATTATTTATGAGACTGCAAGAGTGGTTCAATCCCAACGGGTTAAAGGAAAACAATATATTATCATCTTATAGATCCTGAAAAGTGATTGACAAAATTTTGCACTATTTCCGATGTTTAAAATCCATTAGAAAACAGAACTGGATGGATTCCTGATGTTGTTATGAATATCTCAAACTAAAAGTTACCTAATGATTAAACATAAGAGCATGTTTCTTAAAGTCAGGAACACGACCAGGATGCCCACTGTCCCTACATTATTAAACGTCGTTCTGAAGGTGCCAGCTAATGTAATTACACAAGAGAATGAAATAAGAAAATATATATAGAGAAAAGAGGGCAGAATTTGCATGTGATATGATTATATACTTAGGAAAATTCAAAAGAAGCTGAATGGCTACAAGCAGAATAAAATAAATCAGTTTGTAAAAATTAATAAGTAATAATCACTAGCTGTCCTTATTTCAAATAACTAGAAAACATAAATGAAAGATTTCATTCATAATTTTTTAAATGCTCTAAAAATAAACGTAACAAGAAATGTACAAGGCTTACAGGAATAAAACTAGAAACCTCTACAGAGGCATTTAAAATACGTTTGGATAATGTAAAGACATAACTATGCACAGTCATCATAATTTTTGCAGTATAACTTGGGCCAGGGATAGCAGACAAATCCATGGAAGAGAACAAATGGCTTACTGTGTGTCTCTCTGTGTGTGAGTGTATGTGTGTGTATAATTTAATATAATACAACATTACTTTAAATAAGTGAACATCCTCTGAATTCTTAAAAAAACATATTGTTTACCCTTTTTTTAAAAGTTATAGTAATTTCTCTTGTCCTAAGTAAAAATAAATCCCAGATTGAGAGAGTACTTGGTAGCCAATTGTTGTTCACTGGCAGTAGTGTCCGTTAACACTTAGTGTGGCTTCAGTGAACTTTTCTACCACCTCCTGTCTCATCAGAACATTGTCCTGCTTCCTTTGAGATTTCTAAGTGACTCCTTAGGCAGTATGAAAAAGCAATTTGTGTATAAAGGTGTTACTGAGCAATAATGGCTGAATTTTCACTAGTTTAGGATCCTTTTGGAGACATGATGCCTCATTCCAAATGAGTAACACTAATAATGAGAGATTCACTACTTGGCAAACCATAAGGAGAAAATTGGTGGTCAGGCAAGAATAATCAGCTGCACTTATTAAGGGCACATAGTCTTAATTATACAGATAGGTTAATATGACTCACAGGATGAGTAGAACTTTATTTCATCAATTTCACATTTGCTTTTGTTTTGTTATAGGATCTTAGCCTTTTTGCATAGGTAATAATATCAGACACAGGTAATCCTTTTTAAAGAATTATAAATTAAAGCTGTTATACCAATGTGTGTTTGGAGGTAGAAGATGCCATTTCTTCCCCCTAGACAAGATGTTTAGGAAAGAGACGAGTCTTATTTATACCTTATCATTAGAATCAACCAATGTTCATTAAGTGCGTTTAATGTGCTCGGCACCTTGCCATGTCTTTCCCTATATCCAAGGATTTACCCTTCCCTTACTCTATTCAAATAATGATTTGTCAAATGTGTTGTCCTTCAATGAGGATTATCGGTTAATGTGACATTCTACACATCTTGCCAAAATAATCAGATTTCTCATTTCTCTTGCCAATGCTAAAAATAGGATGGATGCATCAGGCATTCTTAAGTCAGTTTGTACCTTAGTTTTATTTCTAATACAGATATTGAGTGAACCCTTAAAACAAAATTACATGTGTGGCTACAATCATTATTGAGAGATCAACCCCTCCAGCAGTAACAGATACCAGACATAAGCACAATATCACATTATATGTGTGCGAAAAGTGGTGTTTACCCAGAATGTCTTTGGTCAGACTTGTAATGCTGTTTTTTTCCCCATTTTTGTTTGTGGCTGGGTTTTCTTGGTTTCCCCCAACCCCTTTAGCACAGAACTCTGAAAGCCTCTTAGTGATCCAACCCTACCAACCACAATTTATAAAGTCTATCATAACAGTCTATGACAATAAAGAAAACACTAGTGCAAATATGGTGTCTGATTTTATAAAGTGATTCTTGTTTCCAGTTTTGGCAGCCTCCCTGCTTCTGCCAGCCGGGGGGTGAGGAAGGAATGAGCTCAGATCCAAACGAGGACTCCCAGCATGGCAGAGAGGACACTCAGCCCATAGACCCCTGGCCAGACTGGGTGGAAAGCCAGCTGTGACTGCACTTGACTTTAGTGTGCTGGCTTGTTAATTTCACATTGGGTACCTGTTTGCAGATACCTTCCTGAAACTTACTTGCAAAGGTATTTGAAAGAATAATGTGCAGGAGAAAGGTCGATAAACAAATAGCACAAATCACTTTCTTCTCCAAAATGGGATGTTCAGTGCATTCAAGATTGTCCCCTGGGATGTGGGAAAGAAGCATAGGGACTTTCTGTATATGTATTTTTTAATATTAGCTTTTAAAAGCTGTGCTTTAGTAAATATTTTGTAATGTACAAATATACGGGCGTGATTTTATTTAATATTTAAATAAATAAATATGTATGTTTGAGAGCATGAAAACTTTTTTCCCTGATGGAGCTGCACAGTCAGTCATTTTTAAAGATCATGGAGTGAAGCTGCAAGCTCCATCAGGACAAGGGCCACAGCCATTTCGCACACATCTGAATATATCACTCTTAATTTATTCTCAGGAATGAATGGAGAAAAGCATGAACAAATGATCAATAACTTATTGAACTCTGTAAACTAATATTTTACATCAACCAACTCATAAAGCCATTCAGAATGTTA